ACAGGACATTAAATAAAACTAAAGTATTTTTATTTAAAGAAACGTTAACGATGCATTCTCATTATAATTTTTTGTATCCAATTCTCATTATAATTTTAATATAATCTCAGTGCAATTTCTAATAATTTTTTACTTATTATTTTTAATTTAATACCTTTAAAAACCTTATTTTTAAGAACTACAACTTTCGTATCATCTAAAATTATTGAATTTGGCATAATAATTTGCAAAAAATAAAATAAAATATACTGTTGTGTTAATATATTTATTATACAATTTCGTAAACATTAAGCTCTAGATCCGATGCTAAGGATCTAAAAAAAAAAAGTTAAAACATTATTATATTTAAAATACAAAAAATATTTATTTATTCTTTTGCAATGAAACCTTTTGTTTTTTGTTTTTAATTGTCATAGAATATCAATGGAGTTTGTTTTAAAAATGAAAATTTCTTTGTGAAGAGAGAAAGAAATCACGTAAATCTCGTGCAAAAAAGAATTTAGAAATTGAAACGCCGCCGTTATTCATGATATTTATGGTGAGTTCCATGAAAGTACGTAATGACATTTGGTAGGGAACAAGAGAGTAGGAAATAGGCAAGACTATGCTAGCTGTGAAATTGTGAATTGTGATGATGCATTAATTACATTACACTTTACGAACCCACTGATTAAAATAAACCACGCAACATTGATTCTGTTTTTTTAATTCCGTAGTTACCAATTCTTTGACGTAACATCATCGAATTCCGTTGTAAGCTAAGCTCAACATCTGACCATCCCGACAAGGGTGACTAATCTCTTTGTTAGGTTGGAGGTACTTCAAAAGGTAAAATAACTGGTCCCAAGATTTAACGCAGTTGCATACACAAGACAGAATTCGAATCCTTAACCTTGTTTAAGTATAGATCAACCCTACCGCTGAACCACATGCTTGGAGTTCCCTTTTGTTGTCTTTATTCTTTATTTCATTTCCAACTTAATATTCAATGGATTTCTCTATTCTTGCTACTTGTCGCCGTGATGACTCGGGATTTCAAAATACACTACCAAGTCACCTGATGTTCTACGATTTATATTACAGAATCGGCTTTTCAAACTTTTATCTAATTAAAATTCGTATTCTTTCTTCACACAAATGCAACATAGTAATTATACTTTGACTTTCCAGACCATTGCTATCCAATTCCAATGTGGTAAAAATAAGGCCAATCTTATTTTAATTTTGAAAATATGTGATGTGATCAAGAATTTGATTCTCGAATGCTGTCAGATTATTTTATGCTTTGTTTATTGGATGGTGAAATAGTTTTAAAAAAAAATAGAAAGAAATAAAAAAAATAAGTAAATTTTAGAGTTATTTAAATTGAGAGAATTAAAAAAAAAAAATAAGCGTGTTATAAAAATATACCCTGAATAACATATTTATGTTATTTCAATTTTTTATTGAGTTTTATAAGTTTTCTCCGTTCTTTCACTGAACCTGTCACTAATGGAGAGATTTATTTTTAATGTGAATCTTATTTATATCTTTTTTTTTTTCATTCATTTTTCTTTTATTTTTTAAATGCCCCGTATATTTAATTATTTGATAAAGAAAAAAAAATGCTACGAAGAAAATATATAAATAGGACTGGCGTTAGAAGACAAAATCTCTCCATTAGTGAGACACACTGAGACGAGATTTGGTGGAACACTACTGGAATGTCATATTTTGATTGTTCCAATGAGAACAGAAAAGAGGTAACTATTTTTCAGGCCATGATTCCATGTAAATGACGTTCAGCAGTAACAGACATGGATTTTCAGCAGTAACAGAGACACAGGAAAATAATTTCAATTTCATGATTACAATTGACTTAGTTTTGAAATGAACATTATTACATGTGTACCTCGTTTGCCTTTTTGTTCCTGCTTTTGAAGAACCATCAGTAGTGTTTATATGACCATAAGACAAACATCCAAATTCGAATTCAAACTAGTTAGCAAATCACAACTGCACAAAATATAAATACTAGTAAAATAGTCTCTAATATATATATATTTTTTTAAAATATGCTATCTTTATTTGATTAGAATTTATTAGAAAATATAAAATTGTGTATCATACATCCTATTTAATAATTTAATATTTTTACACAAAATATTGTTGAGAATAGTTTCTTGGCTCGATTTTGTTTTGTTTTATTTTCATTTTACATGTTAATTTGCTTAGGAAAATGACTAGACGCCCACAGACCATAGATAGTATAGCATAAACAAGAGGAATTAATGTAACAAGAGATAGCACTTCTAGTTCTACATTTTAATTTAGTCCATATTTCTTCTTATTTACAAGTTTAGGTTTTGATTTTAGTCACTATTGCCAAAGAAATTAAGCACATATTTTTGTTAATTCAGCAGAAATTAAGCACAGATACATTAATTTTTTATTACTAAACCCATGCAGTCAGTGTAAATTTTGATTCATTTAGCCTGTACAAGTGTATACCATATATAGGTATGTGCTTCTCTGACTGTGTATCAATTTATTTGTGTGTACAATATCAACCCAACCTCTTTCCAAACGATCTTCGTCTCACATCATTGAAATTGAATCCGTCAAATTTTGAGGCTTAATCAGATTCAACTAAGAATGCTTGCACAGTCTCCACTCCTTTTCAACTCGATCGATTTAGATTACATGATCGGATAAGCTAGTGCTGCTTCTTGTTGAATATGCATGTTGGAGAAGTGAGCATAAAATAAATGTAAATATGTAAGTATTTAAAGAGGTTATTAGCTAGATAAAAATGTAAAAATGTTGCCCAATCAAACATTTTGATAGCTGAAGGTGAAATGAGACTCCTTGTTTTATCCTTGTAAGTTATAAAAAAGAACAAAATTCCACATATATTTTTGTTGCCAAACAATAGTCAAGTTATTGTATGAGTAGTTCTAAACAAGTTAATCCTTGCATTAAAGAATAGTTAGATTAAAAAAATTGAGGAATATATATAAGAAAATGATGAAATTATATTGGTATAATTTTTATTAATTATTATATTATTAAATACTTTATATTAAAATTGAATTAAATTTATTAATCTAACCATTAAATTATAATTTTATTTTATCTTGAATATTTATGTTAAATTTTGTTAAAATTAAATGATAATAATAAAATAATCAAATTATTTATATATTTTAGTATATATAACAATTTATTTACATGATATATATATATCTAAATTCATCTAAGCACCTGATATGTATATGTTTTGTTTTTCCAATTCTTAACATATAAGACCAACAGAATAAATGAAATATAACCACAAACCTCCAATATCTTTTTGCAATAGGCTTGTATAATTAATAAATAAACGCAAAATAAAAGAGCAATGTATCCTGATAAAAATATACCAAGCTTGCTTGGAGAATCCAGTTCTCTTTTTATTGTATGGTTGATAATTTGTAATGTTAAACAAATAAATAACTAAAATACGAAAGATGATTCACACGCCTAAGTTTGATGGATGATTTTGTACTTCGTTATCAGGTGAACATTTTAAAATAGTGGCTATTATAAACTCATGCTTTTTATCTTCACATTTCGTCCGTACGGAATAATTTTCAAGTACAACAGGTAGAAAGCAAATAAAAATAAATGCAAAAAAGTTAAGATCTTTTTTAAGAATTAAATACGCCAGTTAAAAGAATATTAACCCGTTAATTTATTTACTTACACTGTTAGATGTAATTTGCAAAAAAAAGTTCCATTATAATTAATATCAGTCTAAGAAAACCAGTTTAACCTCTCTTTTTTCTTTTTTCCTTTTGGATGAATGAATAAGTGTAACCTTAAAGAAAGAGAATAATAAAGAAATTTGAAAGACTAAAAAAATGAGAAAGGATTAAAGGATTAATAATTGAAGTCAGACCTTTGCATATCTAACACAATGTGAAAAAAACATAGTACACGTTTAGATAGCTATAATTTTTTTTCCTTTTCGGTGAATCACGTACCTAGATATTAAATCAAAGTAAGATATGCATGTATGGATTCTAAAAATCAAACTTAAAGTCAAAGCTTAGACTCAAAATTAAAGACAAGAAGTCAAACTAGTTGAACTTAAGAAAAAATGATAGAAAGTAAATTTTATGTTAATGGGTTAATAAAAACAAATTAAAAAAATATAGACGTGTATAAGAATTTTTTAAAGAATTTAATAAACATGTATAATTAATATTATAGTTTTTATATTATTGTTCAAATAATTTTCAATATGATTTTTAGATGATTATTAATAACAAAAGTTAATGAATTTATTAAATACGATAATTTATGATTAAATAATGATGTAATAATTATGTAACATTTAGAAAAAATTGCTTTCTTTTAAAAATGTTGTCATTTGTAGACAAATAAACTGAAAGCTTACTAACTATATTATTAACTCATTCTCTATTAGTCTTCAACATTACCCGCGGCACATGAGAATGGATCTTTTCCATTGGAAAAAAACACGAGATGGTAATTAAAGTGTTGAGATCTTACCACTTATTTTTAATTTTATAATAAAATATAAATTTAACACATCATTAGATTTTTAAACCTTTCTTTTGAGAATCTTAAATTACGTTTCTAAACTTAAAAAACTTGTAATTGAATTCTTGATCTCTTATAAAGTTTGTATGTAAATTCTTATAATCAGTAAAAACTGTCACAAATTATTTTTTTTGTGATGATTTGAAACTGACACAAATTAATCACAAAGACTCAATTATAATAAAAAAAAAATACAAAAAGACAAAGGATATAATGACATTTTTTTTAAAAAAAAAAATGAACCTAATTAAATTTTTTTAAAAAAATTTAAGCATTAATTGATGTTTCAAACTTAAAATATATTATGGCAAAGAAATTTAATGAATGGTTAACATGTTCCGGGATGATAGTGTCACTGCAGAAATCTGTTCCCGCCGCACAAAATATTCCCCTTCCCTCTGATATTTATTCACCAGTGGTGAGAGTTTGCTATTTGAACTAACAAAAAGTTGATAGCAGTTAAAACAGTGCATGCACTTTTGTGCTTGTGGGGATCTCTTTTCTCTCTTCCCAATTTATTAGCAGCAGGTTCCATAATATCACTGTACTCTTTGTTGCAAGTGTGTTTAGAATATTTCTTTTAAAGATATTGTTTGCAACATGATTTTCAAGCACCACGCGAAATCCTCTTTACAGAATCACTTGTTTCACACATCAAGAGTTTTGATTCACATGATAGAACTATAAATTGGAGACCCTTATAATACGGATACATATTATTGTTATTATTCTTTTCAGTTCTAACATAGTGTAAAGAAAGAAGACACAATGCAGTTGTGGAAGCTCTTCATCACTGCATTAATGCCGGTTCTTAAGGTGCTCCTTATTACTGCTGTTGGTGCATTTCTTGCACTGCACCGATTTAATATACTTAGGGAGAGTGCTAGGAAGCACTTGAATACAGTAAGTTTAATTGTATCCAATGTTTTTTTTTTTTTTTATATACTTTTTATTCTGCAAAGCTAAGTTCCAATTTATTTTTGGTATTTCATTGCTACTATTTGACATGTCTTGTTAATGATGTGCCTAGTTTTCTATTTACCTTTTCCCCCCCTTTTTCTCTTGAATACTACGTACTCAATGCTGGGACATAGTGTCCCCCCTCCTTCAAATCCTATGTTCTCAAGTTTGACATAAAGGGAAGACACTAAAAGCATCAAAGTTAGTAACACATAAAAGAGATAATCCTGGAGTTAATAATATCTTGTTCTCTGCTATTGTTATAGCAGTTGAATTCAATGTCATAAATAGTTTTTCCCTAAACATTTTACTCACAGGCTGGCATTTAAAAAATATATACAACCGGTGGTACCAATATCACTAATCATAGTTTAACTCAATATTGGTAAATGTCAAACAAAATAAATTAAAAAAGAATGACCACTTATATACTTTTTTTTATTTGATAATCAAATGTAACTCTTTTCATTGGATCAGTTTCTGTAGGAACTAAATTAATATTTTTAATTGTGACTTTATTTCTAAGTTGAGAATTGAATATTGATCCTTGATTATCATATCATTTATATTTTAGAAGTATATTGTACAATCTCAAAAAAAATTATTTTAACAATTGATTATTATTATAATTGGGTTTAATTTTTATTTGGTAAGATTGTTGGAAAATAATTTTAAGATAAGAGTATAATTAAAGAATCAAAATGCAGAATTTTTATTCATTGAAAATTACATTAAAATTATACGGAAAAAATAGTTAAAAAATTTACTTTTAATTCCTTAATCTAAGTTTATTTATTTATTATTTATTTTATGTTCAGAAGACATTAACTATTATAAGAACTTTAACCCTTAAACAAGTGGTGAAGGACTTTGGTTGGAAAAAATTTGTTGAGTGAGATCAACTCTTTAAATGAATTCAAGTATTTGGTAATATTAGTCCTTAACTTTTAAATTAATTTATTAAAATTTTTAGAACAATTTTATGTAGGATAAAAAAGAAAAACTGTCCAGATATAATCATAAATTTAAATTTTCAGATGAAACAACTTATTTTTCAATAAATTTCATTTGAGGTTCCAAAATCAATTATTATATGCTTTTAATAAGGACATTCATTTCAAGAAAGATTTAATAGAATTCAATCACTTGTACAAGGTTGCAGGAAATCTTACAAGCCTTATTTCATTCATATTTGCAGTATATTACAGAAGTATAATGTCATTAACAAAAATGTTTTAGCTTCATTCTTATCTTATCTTTCTTGCTCCAAAAAAGTGTAATATAGGAGAGAGACATTTTTGGTGACTCAAACAACTAACTCGATGAATTTTTCTTGTTTTTGTACAGATAGTATACTATGTCTTCACTCCGGCTCTTGTTTGCAGCATCCTGGCTAAAGCTATAACATTTAGGAGCCTGGTTATGGTGTATGTTGTTTTCTAGCCACTCTGCTACATTTTCAATTTTAATTAACCCTTTCTTTTATTTTCCATCTCTTTCTTTCATTAATTGATTTATCTAAGATGCTTTTATAAATTGTGAAGGTGGTTCATGCCATTGAACATTCTTCTCACATTTATCATTGGGACAGCACTAGGATGGTTGTTTTTGAAAATAGCTAAATCACCTCCTGAAATGCAAGGCCTTGTGTTGGGGTGTTGTGCCGCAGGTACTTCACTTACATATTTTATATAGTTATTTTAATAAGAGAAATGATAACGATACTATTTTTTTAACACTACTTATTATTAGTTGAGATTTATTAAAAATTACAAATTTTATAGGTCTCATATTTCATATAATAGATTTTTCCTGATTTAGTAATAAGACTAATAAAAGTTTGTGATTTATAACCAATAGTAGAGAATATTAACACAAACAAAAAAAGTGAAAATGAATATTGTTAGCATTTCTCATCTAATAAATCAGATCAAGCAAATGATTAAAGATATATAACAGAACAGGGGATATATCATAGAGTCTTGACAACTGAAAATTCTTATTTTCTCACTATTTTATATTTGATGTAAACAGGAAATCTAGGCAATTTGCCTCTTATCATAATTCCAGCAGTATGTAAAGAAAGCAATAGTCCTTTCGGAGATGTTGATATTTGTAATAAAAAGGGGTTGGCATATGCCTCTTTGTCCATGGCAGTAAGACAATCTAACTTGGCACATTGGTTCATCATACAGAATTTTTTTGACAGATTTGAAGTAAGGTTTTAAATTTTATAATTTTGGTTCACCAGATAGGACACATCTACATTTGGACTTTCGTGTACAACGTTATCCGCGTATATTCATGCAAGATTTGCAATTTGAACAAAGTTGATGGTTCCACAGTAGGTCCAGTGTCAGCAATTGAAACAGATCTAGAAAACCATTCAACTGAACCAGTAGTTTCTGCAGAGGATCTCTCAGAGACCAATAATCATGTGAGTACATTGCCTGTGTTCTAATATATTTGGAATTTGGAAATATCGATACCTTATTCTTATGTTCACTTGTACTGCTAGTATGATAGTCTCATTTGCACTCTTTCACCAATGATGTCTAACACAACTTTGTGAATATCACTCCTTTGTTCCCCTTTCTCATATCACTGCAAGATTTTAGTCCTCTAATGTGTTAAAATGCTAAGTTTTTTTTTTATTTTTGATCTCAACGGATAAATGAGAATGACCAATGGCTAAGGCAGTATCAGGTCAGAGTTCTTACACTTTCCAATGGTTTTACAGGTAACAAAACAAAAGCAAATTATGAAACCATTAAAAACATTAGTAAAAAAGCTCAATCTGAAGGTTCTATTAGCACCTGCAACGATCGGATCGGTAAGCCAATTTTGCTCTCAATTTCTTTCTTCTTGTTTTTTCCCCTCCTTTTTATATTAATAATAAAAACTACTATATTTTGAATTTTAATATCACACTAATGAAATGCAAACTAGGAAAGCATTAAACATAATGAATCATAAGGCACGTTAGACATGTCAACATAATAAACTAGATAAAATGTTCTGAATAAGGGAGGCATTTTAAATTCATATTGATCTACAATCGTTACTTACACAGTTACACCAGTATCAGCTTAGTCACAAGCATTATTTACTGACAACGTTTGTCTTTTTTCATGAGTAGATTCTTGGTCTAATAATTGGTGTAGTTCCTCCATTCCAAAAGATGTTTGTTGGCGATAAAGCTCCTTTACGTGTGGTTGAAGATTCTGCATCCATGCTGGGGTAAGTTGCTGCCATGTTAGTTTAGAGACTTATCTTACATTCTACAAACTTATTTCGCATTTTCTTAGTTTTATGACTAACTTGACAAGTATGACCAAAATGATTACTTACTCAATAATTAATACAGTAGTACCTTAAATTTTTAAAACGACAAATAAAAAGAATTATTTTTTTCCTGAAAAACTGAGACTTGAATACAAACAGAATTATTATATTATTATTGTTGCTGTTGAGCGGTAAAAGAGGTTTTATATTACAATCATTTTGCAGGGACGCATCCATTCCGGCAATCACTGTGTTAGTTGGAGCAAATCTTCTTGGTGGTAATAACCAGCATGATTTTTTTTAATGTTCCTTTTCATCTTGCCTCAATAATTCTGAAACTGACAAGTGACAAATTAATACTGGGTCAACTTTGTTCAGGGTTAAAACGATCAGGAATGAAGCTTTCACTTCTTGTGGGGATCCTTGTGATTAGATATATTGCCCTACCAATTTTAGGTGTGGGCATTATTAAAGGTGCAATCCATTTTGGCATTATCCACCAAGATCCACTATACCACTTTATTTTACTGCTTCAATACGCCCTTCCGCCTGCAATAAGCATAAGTAAGTTATTAGGATTCACCGTTTCATATATTATAATACTTTTATACACATACCAAAGTTTCATATATTATTTGCACATAATGATGTATGGTTACAGCATTTAATAAATTTGACTGTATGACTCTATTTTGCACTTCAATTATATTTTACTTTATGACTGCCAGGTACAATTACTCAATTATTTGGAGCTGGGGAAACAGAATGCTCAATTGTTATGCTAGCAACTTATGTCTGTGCCTCGTTTTCACTTACACTATGGTCCACTTTTTTCATGTGGCTTGTCCTATAAATGTATTTTTTTTTTCTTTACCTCACTATGTCTTACTGTCAAAGAACTGCACACGGATTACAGATTATTCTAGTCAAATTAGTATCACTGGAAGGTAGAATAAATTCCTGC